AGAGAGAAAGCAAGCCGCCAGGTCTGGGACTCGAACCGTGGTTGGCTATGTGGAAATTCAGCACCCTTAATCACCATCTTCTGGCCCCAGTAAATCTTTTAAAAACGGAGCAAGATGACCTCCAGCTAGGGCAGGAGAAGGCTCCCCTGGTCACTCCATCCTCTCCTTTCACTCCTTTGGAGGTGCACCCTCCTCAGAGGCCCCAGGGCTGACTCCAGGGTCCCCTCCCTGTCAGCACAGCCTGAGGGAGAAGAAGCCCTCTGAGGCCCTCTCTGCAGCTTTCCTGGGTCTACCCCCACCCCTGCCCACCTGTCTGCTCAGACGCCCTGGTCCAGCCAGCCCCACTTCCCACCCATCCTCTGAGCAGTTCTGGGGGAGTCCCGTACCCTCACACCTGCCTTGGGCAAGGCGCTCACCAGCTGACCTCTGCCCGCCTGCTCACGTGCTGCCCAGCTGCCAGTCCCAAACGCCCTGGCTCCCTGCCTGCCGGGGGCTTCACAGCTGCCGCTCCTGCCCCTGAGGGTCCCGGCCTCCAGACCTCACCCTCACCTGCTCCCAGCCCACCAAGAGGCAGCCCTGCCCTTGCTGGGTCCCACTGTCCAGACTGGGCAAATCTCCGCTGCTCGTGAGTGCCCGCTGCCCTTCCTGTAGCCAGTGGGGCTCACCAGAGGAGTTTAAGGTGGACAGTGATTGGCAGGCATCAGGCAGGAACATGTGGGAGGGGTGTGATTTGGCTCTTGGAAGCCCTCTGGGCACTTCCTTCCCGTGGGACCGGGCTCGAAGTCATGCCTGGCTGTCCCTAGGACTCTGGGAAGAGGCCATGTTGGAGGAAAGGGGCTGGCCTTTGCTGGGAGATGGGCAAACGAGGGCAGTGAGCAAGAATAGCAGAAGGGGCCTCGCTGGCCCTGGAGGAGCACAGGTGGGGCCATGGGGAGACCACAGAGCCTTGGGAGGGCAGCAGGAAGGAGCCTCTGCCTGGCTCCACTACCCAGCATCACACTCCAGCTCAGCCTGGGAACTGGGGTGCCCCAAGCCCCTCCTGGGGCTGGCTATGGGACACCAGAACCAGGTTCCCTCACCTCTGCCACCCCAAGCGGCTCTGGCCCCACCTCCCAGAGGGGTCCTGGTGCCGGGGTAGTTTTTAAAACCAGAGCCTGGAGGCCTTATCAGACCACAGGTTTTCCTGAGGAAGGAAGGGTGGGTGTGGGCCTCCAGGATGGGCGCCTCAGTGGGGTGTGCCCTGCTAGTAAGGGTGCGCACAGTGCTGCCCTGGGGAGTGGACAGCCTGTCCCTGGGAGACCCTGGCCCAGGACCGTGCCCCACCAAGACAAACAAGCTCCAAAGCTTGATAGCCTGGGGGCCAGTGCTCCAGGGCTCGGGGCAGAGCGCTCCCTGAGCCTGGGCCAGCGCTGTGCCAGGGCAGCCCTGCTCCCAGGGAGGTACTCAGCAGGAGTCTGTGCTTCGACTCACCTGGAAACAGACCCAGGCACGCTTAGGGCCACCCTCTCTGCAGCCCCAGCCTGGGAAAACCCAAGAGCCCATCCGTGCTCAAGCGGGCGGATAAAGTATGGCCTGTTGCTCAGCGCCTGTCAGGTCGGGAGACCCAGGCCCGCCGCGGCCACCCATGGTGCCATGAGCTCCCCTCACCCACACTGGGCCTGCAGCCTCACCTAGGTTAGCTCCAGACAGGCCAGAGGAGGCTGAGAGGGCCCGGGATGCCCAAGGGCTCCCGGGGCTGACAGGTCCTAACCCTAACCTGATCCAAGTCCTGTCAGCACACTCGCTGAGTGGGTACTTGGAACACGTGCTATCCTGAACTCACGTGGCCCTTCCCGAGGAGCTACCCAAGAGAGATGAGACCCTGCACTGACCCCTCTCCGAGGGAGTAGAGGCTCTCCCTGCCCCCCTGCCCATCCTGCATCCTGCCTGGGCCTGACTCAAGGGCAGCCTCTCTGCCTCCAGGGATGCCGTGGACACCTGGGCTGGGAGCCAAAGAAAAGGCTGGGTCTTGCCCTGACCCTCCGTGGAAGGAAGGAGAGGGCAGCCATGGGGGAGGTGCTGGTGGGGACGGGAGGCTGTGGCTTGAAGTAGGCCAGGCTGACCACCCAGAGCCACCTCTGTCTTTCTTGGCAGGGCTGGGGGAGCCACTGGGGCCGGGTGCAGGTGGGGCCTGGGGGTGTGGGGCCCGCCCTGGCCCTGCTGGAGCCAGCAGACAGCAGACAGGCCAGGGGGTGGGGGTGCCTCCCTCGCTTCCCTCCAGGCCTCATGCCTCTACCCCTTCCTGCTTCCAGAGGCCCCGGGGCTATTTTTAACTGGGCTGAGCTGCCAAGCTGAAGGTGGACAGAGCCGGGGAGGGGGAGGAGAGAAGGCCCAGCAGCTGTGTTCCTACCCACCCTCCCAGGGTCAGAGCTGGGGGACTGGTCATTTTCAGCCTTGGAGGAGAACTAGCCACGCACCCGGCACAAGCAGCCACGCAGAGGCCCTGCACACGGACACACGGGCAGCCCAGGACGAGCTCAGGGACACGCTAGGTCACAGAGACTGGGGAGACCAGTTAGATGCTCACAGTGTGAGCACACGGACACCTGGACTCACATGCGTGTGCACAGACACAGGTGCCCGGGGCCACCAGCTGGGGGCAGGGCAGCAGGCCCCTGGGGTTCCATCCAAGACTGGTGTGGGGGAGGGGCCTCCCTGTCCCAATCCTGAGCCCCAGCCAGATTTCCCTCGAGCCCCTGGGGGGCCGGAGGAGTCTCAACAGCCTCTCCCAGAGCCCCATCTTCGGCCTCTCTTTCCTGAGGAAGGGCAGAGGCGGGAAGCTGTGCTGGGCTGGCCGGCCCCCCCAATCACCCCTCAGCCAGGATAGGAAACCCTGAGGGGGCTGGATGCTCAGCTGTCCCCTCCTCCCTCTGACCCCACTCCCCTGCCCCCCCCAGCCTTTGTTCCCTGGGGCTGTGGCTCTCTGACCCCACTGAGGGCACTGGAGAGCCCAGGTGTCACGGGCCAGCAGCCCAGGCTGCCACTGGGCTCTGGAGAGGAGGGGTCAGAATGCCATGCGAAGGCCGGCCTGTGACTTCCCATTCCCCTCATACCCCACCTCTGCCCCTAGGGGCCAGAACTCTCAGGGAGGGGTGGGGAGGGCGGGCAGCCAGCGAGGGGACAGGACATCCTCTTGGCAGGACAAAGGAGTGAGCCGGAGGTTCCCAGCCCCTGTCAAGGCCACAGGAGACAAGGTCACTGGGCCTGGGGCTCAGCGATGCCCTGAGGCCAGTCCAAGTCGGCCCAAGTGGTGACCAAGGGCGGGTGGCAGATGGACCCAGCCCCCACCACAACCGTTCGGAGTGGGAGCTGCCCGGGCCCCAAGCCATGGTGGTGGCAGCACCCCTGGGGCCTGCTCTCAGAGAGCTCGGATGCAGGGGTGTGACAGGCCTGGGTTTGCCTTCAGCTCCAGAGGAGGCTGTCAAACCCCAGAGGGGCTTCCCGGGAGGACAGGCCTGACTGGCCCTGGCGTTTCCCTGCCCAGGACAGGAAGCCCAGAAACAGTCCAGCTGGGGTGAAGGCCATGGGGACTTCCTGTCCCTGCACTCCACTCAGGGCAAGCTAAGGCAGGGTGCACCACCAACCCAGACCGGCTGGCCTGGGGCCCGAGAGTTCTGGGAGGTGCTGAAGGCTCTGGAAGCAGAGGGACCCTCTGCGGCCACCACACCTGGGCCTGCTGGAACCCATGCATCCTTGCATACCAGGTCCTGGCTGCTGGCCGGTCCCACCCCAGGGCCTCTGCCTGTCTTTTGAGTTGGCTGAGCCAGAAACGGTGTTCTCACCCAAAAGCGGCCTGTGAGGACATCAGTCTGGACTAGCCCAGTATCTGAAAGTTAAAACTGCCAAAGGGGGGACCAGCAGGTGGCGTGGTGGTTAAGGCGCTAGACACTCCCACATGGCTGACCATGGTTCGAGTCCCGGACCTGGTGGCTTGCTTTCTCATTTTCCCTCTCCTCTCTGTGTCCCTCTCTCTGGTCAAATTAAAATGAATGAACAAATAAATAATTCTTTAAAAACAAAACAAAACAAACAAAAAATAAACTACTGAAGGGAATGTTAAGAGGTTGCCGTGTGACCCAAGATTTCTACTCTAAGGAGCCCAGACAAGAGACACGCTGCCCTGATGCGACGCATGTCGAGAGACACCTAAGAAGCCATTTGCCAAGATGGTGCCTGTGGCCACCTCCTCCTCTGTCACGCCCAGTGTTCATGTTGCACTCAGTCTTGACATCTCTGTAAAAATTAAGCTTTATTGAAGTATGAGCCACACGCAGTGATGCCATCCGGTCTCCACCCATGGGCCTGACCAAGGCGCAGCCCATGGCTCTCGAGAACCAGGGCATTTTTGTGGTCCCGGAAGGCCCCTCGGCCCTGCCCCCGCTGATCTCCCCACGTTGGTGCTGACTCTCCCAGGGTTCTGGCAGACTGAACCACAAAGTGCGTGGCCTTTGAGCGTGGCTTCTTTCACCTGCTCCGGCAGCTCTGAGGCTCACCGGCTCCTCCCGCTCTGCAGCGCGCTGGCCACCTTGCTCGAAGCCGGCTGAGCCCTGGTGATGAGTCTGCACATAGTTACCTCCTGGGTAACTGCCTAGGAAGAGGAGTGCTGAGTTGTTCTGTCTCATTTTCCGAAGTTTTTACAGCACCAGCTGGTGGCCTGATGGTTAAGTTGGCCGATGGTACAGTTTGAGCCCCAGACCTGGTGCTCCAGAAACATGTGGGATACACGTGCAGCCCCAAATCCTGAAAAGAGAAGTGCAGGGACTGCAGTGTGACCATCTCCATGGGGGTCCCCTCTCACTCAAGGCCACAACCAGAGCCCGCCCAATTCCTTGCCAAGATCCTTTTCTTATTATTGCCAGAGGGCACGTGCTTGAGAGAGACCCCCACGGGGCGTGGCGGTACAGCACTGGGGCAGCACGCCTTGACAGACATGCTGGGCCTGAAACTCCAACCTCGTTCAGCCATGTGGGACTCGCTGCCTCAGCCCCTTCTCCTGGCAGGTCCCAAGAGAGTAGGCAGAGGGGTCTGTCCCCACGCGCAGGGGTGGAGGACGGTGGTCCCTGGAGGGTGGTGTGGTGAGGACAATGAGGCTCACTAGCAGTGGGGTCTGCGAGGTGGTGACACCGAGGAGGCTGGAGGCCTCTGAGCTCAGCTCACTGGAGACACCTGTGTTCTTGGCCTCGCCCGCCCTCAGGGTGCTTGCCGTCATCACACCCACTCTGTGCACAGCTGCCAGCCCCAGTGGTCCCTGCTCGCCCAGCCCTCCACTCTTCCAGGCCCCTCCCTTCTCTATGCAGTGGGCCTGACCCCCTCGGCCTCCTGACCCAGCTTCCATCTGTGGCCCAGTGTCCCTCACTCGCAAATCCCTCCAGTACGGGACTCTTCTCTCAGGGCCTCCCTGAGAACCCTTGCCTCCTCCTGCCCACACCTAAGCCATGGCTCACGGCTAGGACACTGACCCAGGCAGCTGTGGTAACAGCCCACATGGTGCAGGGCTCAGAAGCTGGCCCTCCCAGCCCTTCACCACGCTCGCCATCTCTCCCAATGCCAGGGCGGCCTCTCCTCTGTCCTGTGCGTCAGCCTCTCCCTGCCCTCCCTGTGCCTGGCCTCCGGCATCCACCTACCAGCCCCAGGCCTCCACACAAAGCCATACCCTTTCCAGCTGGGAACCCTGCAGTGGCTTCCTGTCAAAGCCCTTCTCATCCCACCTCTAGCCCCATTCCT